ATATACTGCTAATTGTAATTAGCAATGAGAACCATAAAAATATTTTTTCTTCTTCATTTAAAATAGATATTTTCAGCCCAGTGGTTGTGGTCCAGTTGTTGACCATCAACCTATTAACCAAGAAGTCACAGTTTGATTCCTGGTCAGGGCACATGCCCGGGTTGTGGGCTTGATCCCCAGTGGGGGGCTTGCAGAAAAAAGCCAATCAACAATTCTCTCTCATGACTGATGTTTCTATTTCTCTCTCCATCTCTCTTCCTCTCTGAAATCAATACAAATATTTAAAAAAAAATAAAATAAAACAGATTTTCAGAATATAAACCAACATGCGCTGCTCTGTGCATATTTGTATAGTATCTAAAACTAGAGGCCCTGTGCATGAAATTCATGCACTCAGCGGAGGAGGGGTTCCTAGCCAGGCCTGGGCCCTCTCACACTCCAGGGGGATGTATGATTGCTGGCTTAGGCCCGGGAGCAGGCCTAAGCCGGCAGTCAGACATCCTTAGCGCTGCCGCGGAGAGGCTCCTGCCACTGCCACTGTGCTCACCAGCCATGAGCCCAGCTTCTGGCTTCTGGCTGAGCAGTGTTCCCCCTGGGGGAGCTGACTGACCACCAGGGGGCAGCTCCTGCATTGAGTGTTTGTCCCCTGGTGGTCAGTGTGTATCATAGCGACCAGTTGTTCCATTGTTCAGTCGATTTGCATATTATCCTTTTATTATATACTAGAGGCCCAGTGCAAAAAATTTGTGCACTAGGGGGGTTCCTCAGTCCAGCCTGTGCCCTCTCGCAGTCTGGGACCCCTCAGGGGATGTCCACCTGATGGCTTAGGCCTGCTCCCCGGGGGATTGGGCCTAAGCTGGCAGTCAGACATCCCTCTGGCAGCCCGGAAGCCCTCGGGGGATGTCCACTTGCCAGCAGGGAGCAGGCCTAAGCTGCAGTCGGACATCCTTAGCGCTGCTGAGGAGGCGGGAGAGGCTCCCACCACCACCTCTGCGCTGGCAGTGGTCAGCCTGGCTTGTGGCTGAGCAGAACTCCCCCTGTGGGAGCGCAGTGACCACCAGGGGGCAGCTCCTGCGTTGAGTGTCTGCCCCCTGGTGGTCAGTGTGTGTCATAGTGATTAGTCATTCCTAGTCGTTCTGCTGTTAGGGTCAATTTACATATTACCTTTTTATTATATAGGATAGAGGCCTGTTGCACGGGTGGGGGTCGGCTGGTTTGCCCTGAAGGGTGTCCCAGATCAGGGTGAGGTCCCACTGGGGTTCCTAGCCAGACTGGGTGAGGGGCTGAGGGCCGTTTTTAGGCTGGCCACACCCGCTTCAGGGTGGGGGTCCTCATTGGGTGCCTGGCCAACCTGGGTGAGGGGATGATGGCTGTTTGGAGGCTGGCCAAGCCCCCCAGTGGGGACCCTCACCCGATGGGGGTGTGGCCATCCTGGGTGAGGGGCTGAGGGTCGTTTTCAGGCTGGCCACACCCCCAGGCGACCCAAGCTCCCAGCCTCTCCTTTTGGGCTGGAAGCAGGTATCTGGGATTTATTTATCTTCTATAATTGAAACTTTGTAGCCTTGAGTGGAGCCCAGGGTCGGCCAGGTCAGGCAGGAAGCTTGGCTTCCTCCATCACCGGGGGCAACCCAAGCCTCCTGCTTGCTCCAGCTCTGTGGCTGCCGCCATCTTAGTTGGGTTAATTCGCATACTCGCTCCTGATTGGCTGGTGGACAAGGCTTGTGGGTGTGGCAGAGTGGTGGAGTGATGGTTAATTTGCATGTTTCTCTTTTATTAGTGTAGGCTAGAGCCCGGTGCACAACATTCGTGCACGGGTGGGTTCCCTAGGCCTGGCCGGAGATCAGGGACTATTGGGGCTGTCTCACCCAGTCTCGCTTGGGGCCAGGCTGGCTGGGGCCTGCCAGCTGCTGGATGGGCTCTGCCTATCAGGGCCTGCCAGATCGAGGGAGAGATGGGGAGGGGCCATGGGAGGTTTTCCAGCTCTTGGGAGGCACTGAGGGAGGTTAGCTGGCCATGGGAGGTTGTCTGTAGGAGCACACTTACCACCTGGGGGCAGCTCCTGTGTTGAGCGTCTGCCTCCTAGTGGTCAGTGAACACCATAGCGACTGGTTGACTGGTCGTTCCACTAATTCCAATCATTCTGGTTGTTCAGTCGTAATGGTTGCTTAGGCTTTTATATATAGGGAGAATATTATTTAAGTGTTATGTTACAATGATACCAAATTATTTAATATTAACATCCTATATAATAAAAGCCTAATATGTTAAGTGTCCGGTCATCCAGTCGTCCGGTCGATCAATCAAAGTGTAATGTGCTAATGATATGCTAAGGCTGCTTAACTGCTCGCTATGACATGCACTGACCACCAGGGGGAAGACAGTCGACTGATTGACCAGTCTCTATGATGTGCACTGACCACCAGGGGGCCAACATTTTGACTGGTAGGTTAACTTGCTGTTTGGGTTCAGCTGATTGGGACTGAGCAAGATGGGTTGGACATGCCCTGGAGCCCTCCTATGGTCCCTTTCTGGCTGGCCAACTTCCCACATCCTTCCCAGGCCCCAATTGTGAACCAGTGGGGTCCTTGGCCTGGCCTGTGCCCTCTTGCAATCTAGGAACCCTTGGGGGATGTCGGAGAGCTGGTTTCGACCCGATTCCACAGGCCAGGCCGAGAGACCCCACTGGCGCACAAATTTGTGCACCGGGCCTCTAGTATTAGTCGTAAAAATTTGTAACTATAAAGTGAGATACCAGTTTAAAAGAAGCATTATCATTTTTTTTAGCTCTATGTATTTTTTCTTCTCTATAATTTTTTCTTCTACATATTTTCAGTTCTACATATCTTTCTGGCCCTCTTTTATAAAAGAAAAGTATTGAGAAAATGTCACGTGAAATTATAGAATGCTTCAGGAAAATAAAATCTCTTTTCAATTAAATCTTTTGAAAAATATACACATCACACTTTCCAAGCCAAGGAGTGTGTTGGTTTTATTGCATTTTATGCTGTGACAAAGTACCATAATTAGTACATTGGTGTAATTTACCACTGCTTCATTAAAGCTGATTGCCTAACTACCTGGGAAGTTAACACGGCTTCTTGAGTACTTGACCTACCTTATATTTCTACCCTACCCTACAGCTGTTTGTGGGAGTCCAACAAAGGCATTTGTTGCAGAAAAAGAAATAATCCAGATAAAGATTTTAATACAAGAAAAATATGTCCTTTTGTTATTTGCTTCCGTGTTTCTTTCAATTTTTAGTGGGTTTGATTTTATGATGAGACCTCAATGACTACTACATAGAGATCTGGTACTCTGTTAATTTTTTACCCATTTATGAAACTAAATCATGTATATTTAATTTATATTATCAATAATTTCTCTTTTTAAAAATCTGACTTAAATTAAAAAATGAAGAAAAAATCCCCCCCCTCACCAATGTTCATGTCCCAACCCCTGAATCCTATGAATATGTTACCTTATATGACAAAAGGCACTTTGCTGTAACTCACCTCCTCTCAGGTAAATTGGGTCAAGCATATCAGATGTAACATATGACAGTGAGTTCACATTGTTTCATTTATCTAACCCAGTGGTCAGAAACTGCAGCTCGCGAGCCACATGCGGCTCTTTGGCCCCTTGAGTGTGGCTCTTCCACAAAATACCATGTGCGGGCGCGCATGTACAGTGCGATTGAAACTTCGTGGCCCATGCACAGAAGTCGGTATTTTGTGGAAGAGCCACACTCAAGGGGCCAAAGAGCCGCATGTGGCTCACGAGCCGCAGTTTGCCGACCACTGATCTAACCTGTAAAATAGGAGATTCTAAATATATTTATAAAGTTCATTAAAGTCCATTAAGTCATACCCATTCTCGATTTTCAGGGTTCTACAAGTTTGCAGAAATAGTGAAGTTCATTTAAATGGCTTGAGGTAGGGATAAGAAATTTTTTTAAAAAAATATAAAAACTAAGAGACAAAAGTAGATTAAATGCTGTTGTGTCAATAAGAGTAACTTTCATGATTTCTTCCGTTGCAAAGAACCATGTGCATTTTGTCTTTTACTCGCCAATCACCCCACCCACCAACTAAGTGACAGGAAACATCCAGCAGCATGAAACTCATGTTAAAGCAATAGAAGGATCTAGCAAAAATTCAAATCTTAATAGGAGAACCAATGCTATGTACCAGTACAGAATCAGTGCTTCAGATCAGGAGGCAAACCTATAGATAACGCATACTACATGCACACTTGAAATAACTTCAGTACCGATGTAGTCTATAACAGCCTCATCTGAAATGAATGTTCAGAAAACAACCAAAAAAACTCGTTGTAAATTCTGGGTAAGCGATTTACATTCTGACAGAAGGGTGGGCTGTAGGGTGTGCTGCACATTAAGGAACAGTTTTACGTTTGTTGCTAAAATTAAAGTGGTTTTCTATTGGACTCACCTGAAGTTAAATTGGCAAAGTAGACCACATTTATCTATATGATTTGTAGATCTTTCTCCAAATCATAAATATGAAAATGAACACTTTGGATTTGGTTGCAAAGGCTATTTGCATTAATATTTGATCCTTCTGGGAAGTTTCTGGTATTATGGAATCTTCTTTCTAGGCCCTCTATCCCTTGAATAATTCTCAACACTACATGCTCAAAAAAGAGATATCAAAGGAGAAGTAAAAGCCCTGGTAATATTGACATTCCCATCATTCCTGGAAATTTCAATGTTTATGAATTAAAGGAAAAGTCAGGAGAGAATGTGTCTTGGGGGAGAGGACAGGACAGTAAGGAATGCAAAGGACAGCAGTAAGCAGGGAACAATAGCAAACATACAAATAATAATAATAACTATAATTATTATTCAGCTTTAGAAAAAGACAAAAACAAAAGGAAAAACACCCAACCACTAATCAGACCCCATTTCCACGAGCTGTGGTGAATCAATTAAAATGGAAGGGAATTACATGCAGATGCTTCAGATAGAAAATGTAGAATACCTTTCCACTGATGATTTTTAGTTTTCAGGACAAGTGAGACCCAAGCTGCAGACAGAATGGTCCCAGCATGCTTGTTGCCTTTTTTTGTTTGCACAGTAGCTGTCAATTCCAGGCTTGCAGGTAGTGGAACCCAGCAGGAAGAAGGGGCGGGACCCAACGATGCAGACTGAACTGAGAGCAAATTTAAATTACTGAGCCTTTTTTCCCCTTTTTTATTTTTCTACTCTGCGACAAACTGAAAAGATTCCAGCACGCTAATTTAACCACCCTGCTTCTTCTTCTTTACTTTCCCCCCACCCCTGCTTCCAGGATAATTAAAAGAGAAACCTGTAAAGGCAACATTCCTGTGAGCGAGTTGGTGCTGCAACGTGCTGGTAAGAAAACGAATTTAATTTTTAAAAATCTTTTCTTTTGCTTTTTGCTTTTTATTTTTTTAAAAGAGCTGAAGGCTTTGTCTGTCTAATGCAGTCATAAGCGTGGCTTCCCTGCCGTGAGGGGTTAGCATGTAATGAAAAGGTGTAATTGCCTGATATGTGACCTTCGCGTCATACTTATAATGGGTGATAACAGCATTCCTGTGTCCCCCGATGATGCTTCTCTCTGCGAATTGACTAGCTGCCCAGTTGCAACAGGGCTAAGATTGTCACACTGTGGCAATTTGTTGATCTTTTAGGGTTGTCGTTTCAGTGTCCTGTCAGGGAGAATTCTTGAGTTGTCCAAGTTACTTCCTTGCAGGGGTGTTATGGGTTTTAATAGGTGTGTGAGAGACCATAACTGTTTTGTTGTTTACTTATCAAACAGGAAGTGTAATGATGGAACTTTTTTTAAGTTACACTGTATTGTCCAAGACTTCCTGAGTACAGATAATGAAACAGACTAAAGTGAGTGCTGAGTAAAGGTATTTTAATACCTTTCATCTGGAACTAGCCGGGAGTGGATTAGACAGTCAACTGTGGAGAACCTAGATCATTAGGGGCTTTGAACTTGAGATACGAACTTTATTATTTAAAAGGACTGATTTTAATTCAACCCAATTAAATCCAACAAGTATTTCTGTACACTCGGCTTGGCGCCGGTACTGACAGTGTTCGTGCCTGTATTTCTGTTATGAGGAGAAACTGAAGCTAGATGGTGTAAATTTTCAGAAACTAGCTGTTTTTATTACTGTTAAAGCTGATCAAGCCATTTAAGAAACACTTCAAAAAGCATGACTGTTGACTATGAGATAAAGTTCAGCAGGTTAAATCTCTTACCATCTATTCCTTTTGTGCATGTAAATTTTGTTGATGTCAATTTGCATCTATGGTCAGTGAATTTTCGACTGCATTATAATATTATAAAGAAGAAAACAGGAATCTTCTCGTTCTTGCAAACCAAACATGTCATTTGAGAATATATCCATGTGGCAAACTTTTTTTTGAGATTACCCAGATTCTAGCTTCATAAGCTAGTAGACACATGGAAAGATTTAGACTTGTCAATAAGTTTGCTTGGATTTGTGTCAAGAATCTTAGGAACAGCCTGGCCAATGTAGACTTATCAACCAGGTCAAGGCATATGCCTGGGTTGCAGGCTCAGTCCCCAGTAGGAGGCAGCTGATCAATGATTCTCTCTCAGCATTGATGTTTCAATCTCTCTCTCTCTCCCTTCTCCTCTTAAATAAATAAAAATAGATTTAAGAAATGAACCTTGGGAACAAAGATTCATATTCATTCTCTCTCTCTCTCACTCTCTCTCTCTCTCTCTCTCTCTCTCTACCTTTAAAAACACATAAAATGTCAAGGGATATTTTCTGTTGTTCTCCAGTGTTTATAAACTATGTTAGTTTGGTGTTGGTTTTTAATAGATAATTAAAAATGTAATGGGAGAGCATAAAAAAATGCAGTTACCAATTTTCCATTAGCAATGTTTTCTGAAGAAAAAGCCTCCTGTGAATGTGGGAAGATTGGATGCCATTTGCATCTGATCGAGAATGTGGCATTCCATACACTGGTAAAATCTGACTGCTAGACTCTGTAGCTATTCTAATTGTGTCATTTTTACACTTAACAGCTCTGAACTGTGCTCTCCTCCCCTGAGTCCTCACCAATGCTCCCAGATGGCTTTAAATGTCTAAAAAGACCTTGGAACATTAGAAAGTGTCAATTGTTAGAATAATTTCTGTCTCATACAACAAGAGATAATACTATGGATTTAATAGTTCATTTTTTAAAATCTGTTTTTATCTACCAGTAACTGTCTACTAGGGACATTTCAGTTATAATTGGAATAAATGGTTGCCCAGTAACAAGCAAGTAACTCTGAAGCTACTTTCCATAGAATCAGTGACTAGAAATAGCTACAAAGAGCTAAATGCAAGTCAAATCACAGAACGTTGCTTTAATTTTTTAAAGATTCATTCCAATTTTACCTTTCTACTTAAACTCTTAAATGTTCTACTCAGTTTCTAATTGACCAAAATCTCATGTGTGAAGAATAAAGGCCAATAAACCTTTGGGGGAGGGTGTCTTCCTGATTCAAAATAAGAATGAATGAGGATAAGCAGAACCTCTCAAACCAGGAGTGGTAACAAGATTCCGGGCTGGCAATACCATTATATGTGAAGAACTGCCATCATCTCTGACGGAATGTAATGTGAAATTATGGGTTTCACTGTAGGACTCTGTCATTTGAGCCAGTAATCAATCCATAATACTATAGATTGCTGCAGTTATATCCTTTCCCCATTAATAAATATTGAATAACACCGAAGTTACTTTAGTTAGATTTTACCCTATTTTTTCAATAGAAAAGGAACCAGGAATAACCGCAGATTCTGATATCTAAGCATAAAGAATATCAGATTATCGTTTCTTCTTCCCTCGCTGAAGTGCTATGACATTACAATCTGAAGAGCAAAATTCTTTCACAGTAGTTCTGCATTTGTCATTTAGCCCTTGTGGCATTGGGGACTAGTTTTCACCTTCTAATTGCACAGGTGTTGAAACGGAGTATACCCTATGGAGAGAGTAAACACTGTTATTTTACACAGACATACAAACAGACAAAATTGCACATGATGCCAGAATGAAAATACAAAGTCACCATAAAAATACAAGTAATGCTTTCTGAAAATATGACACTGAATATTTGCTCAATTTATTATAAATGTATACTGAGTGTCAATCATGTTAACCAATAGGAAATTGAAAAATGAAAAAGCCATATATTGCCCATCAAGAGAATGACCATGTAATAGATATTCAACTGGTAAATTAGAAAGTGTGCTTTGATTAAGTAGCCCATGATGAACATAGTATTGTTTTAGGCTCTCTGGATCATGAGAAATCAAAACATATTGCTTCTAACCTCTCAGAACTGGCATATTCTTTACTTCCCACCTTTGCTTCAGTTCTTTTTCAATGGCATATGTATTTTCTATTGTGTTTTTTTTTTAAATATTATTGTACAAAGAGTCTTAGTATCTGATTTTTTTAATATAAAAGAAAAGAAGCAAGAGGCATTTGCTTCAATATCAGTATATATCCATCCTAATCCCTAATTATCCACGGATATGTTGCTTAATCTTCTTAGGCCTCTGTCTCCTCATCTTTACAAAGAGGAAGTGGCCCCATCCAACAGTAAAATGTTTTTATTCCATCTAGCTGAACATGGGTGACTTTAAAGGAAGATAAAGAGTATGTTACTTATGTGGCTTAGTGGTTTAAACAAAGTACAAGGGAATTATCAATGAATGAACTACAAGTCCTAGCCTCTGCATTTGTGCAGAGTTGATATGTGCTTAAGCCAGTCCTTGATTTCACTACCTATTCTCTCTATGCTGATGTAGTCATGCTCACAAGACTAGAGAGAAACATTGCAATAGAACAATAACGTATATAAAGAATGAAAATTCTTCCACATGTGACCCAAGAAAATAAAAATAATCTCTCTCTCCTTAAGACTAAAATGTATAGCAATGCTTTCTTTTTTAATTTATGTAACACTAGAGGCCTGGTGAATGAAATTTGTGCACAGGTAAGGTCCCTAAGCCTGGCCAGCAATCAGAACTAATCAGGTTCCCTGCCTCCCAGCCTCCCGGCCTCCTCTTTCTCTCACTCCCTCAGCACTCCGCCATCGCCGCTGGTCGCCCACCATGTTCCACACTGCCCCTGGTGTTCAGCACACATCATAGCAAGCAATTGCACTCCCAATCTCCCGCTCGAACTCCCGAGGGGACACTTTGCCTATATTAGCCTTTTATATATATACTAGAGGCCCGGTGCACAAAAATTTGTGCACTCCGG